CCCCAAAACCCCAAAACCCCAAAACCCCATATTTGTCTTTCATATTGTATAAATAAAATTTAATCTCTCTAAGTATGAATAAAGGAGAGCCACGGAAGAAGTAAGTGGTTAAATTAAGTCTTCCCAGTGCATTCTCTGCCAGAAAATGTCGTGTATCGAGACTTCATCAGTAAATACCCTAAATCTTCAAGGGCTAACTAATAATGAATCTGTACTATCAATATCCCCTCATATGTTTCCAAAGAATTATATAACACAAGGACCACCATACACAAATAATAGGGCTAACAATAAGTCCCTCTTTCCAAAATTTCGAGTAGCTGTTAGTACAAATGCTCTTTTTTCAAGACAATAAGCTCACTTTTTAATAGCCTCTTTAAAATTTCGACTCAAACCTGGTATATTCGCTACCTAAAGCTAGCAAACAGTAAACCTTGAGGGTGGTTTATAGCTATAAGTGTAAAGATTAGCTAGGTTTAGACTCATAGTGGTATTCGATATTTAGAGGGTAAGGAGATAAATAGGTTTAAATGAAAGGAAAATGGTTTAAATGGAGATATAGCATTTTCTCCATTTCTGGTGTGAAACGATGGGTGTATTAGAATTTCTTTTGGGGATTTTTATCATATTCCTTTAGATTTGTGAATGAAGTTGGGCTTGAACACAGGAGAAAGGAAATGGGATCTATAAGAGATAGTGTGAAAAGGTCTGATAGGAGTAGAGTATAGAAGGCTCGTAATTTATAATTTCTTATATAGAATGTTTTAAGTTGATTTTGAAGCTGAAAAGTTTGATTATACACTAATTTTTATTCTGGATCTGAGAGATTTCTGATTTTAGTTTTAAGAAAAGTGAAATAACTTGGAACATAGAGTTCAACAGCGGAGTCTCAGTCAAGCACATTTTACAATCAAGGAAAAATGTTGATGAAGAAGAGAACTCGATGAATTTCGTACTGAAATTGAGCAGCTTAAGAAAGAGCTTAGTCAAGTCAAAACCCACTTAAAACAAAAATGCCCTAACCCAGAGCTAGAACCTTGAAGACAAGTAAGAAACTTCTCAACTAAACCGTTAGAAAAATATCAAGATTGCTCAGAAAATGTCAAAATGAGTTAAAAGTTTCATAAACCCAAAGAATGACATTGAGCATTATGAAAGTCTCTCAGCGTTATGTAATATTGAGCCCGAGACTGATCCTCTTAAGGTACTCCGGCCACATCCATCGACTCGGAACAAGATGATGCCTAAATTTTTCGAGTCAGAAGAGACCATCTTCTGTGCTTCTAATTATGGGTCTAATAGAAGGTTCAAAAGTTTTTATTCAAAACCACCTATACAAAAGAGTGCAGGGGTGCTGAAATAAACCATTCCAGAGGATGCTCTCGGAGGGCTCCCAGAGCCCTCCGGAAGATGCCCTAAAATGAGAATGCACCCATATTAACCAGAAATGAGGTGCTTACTGAAAGAATTTGAAGCCAGAAGATGAAAAAGATATGGTTTTTAGACTAAATAACTCTCGAATCGGTAAGCACACTGGATTAATAGCTGCATTAGATGAAGAGGAAGATAGCAGGATTTATGCAATACCAAGAAATTGGTGGCAAGAATGGTGAGATTATGTTAACATTGAAGCAACTGACTACTTTGAACAACTCCAGAAATTAAATTTAAACTACGAATCGATTTCTGATTCACCTAATCTCAGATGTCAAAGTAGAGGAGATCAGGAGGGTTTATTATCGACAAGGATGAATTCTCCCTTCGGGATTCCTCATTCTGAAGAAGGACATTACCCTCGGCCTGATAAGATCTGAAACCGATCTCTGATATCTGAAGATAGTATTCTCTGCTCTCTACCATTCCAGACAAAGCATTTAAGAGAGAATCTAACTAGCGGGCTTGACTATATTAAAGTTGATAGTCACTGCTGGAACTTGTTGAATCTTTGGTATGGGAGTGACTACAAAGTAAGGGCGCCAAAAGAGACTTTTGAATCAATAGCCTCCTCAAGATTTAGTCTCTAATGCTAAAATTTCAATAAACTCATTCAGAAGTGGGGTTTTGGGGTTTTGGGGTTTTGGGG